AAGGTATCTAGAAGAACTCTAAGATATACCCATATTAATGTTCATTTGAAAGGTATCTAGAAGAACTCTAAGATATACCTATTTAAGTTAGGCCTTGCGGGTATGAACCCCGGTGGCTAGGGTTAAAATGTACGTACGGGATCCAAGAACCAAACTTGAGTACCTACTCGTTTGGGGGTACCACCCACCCAACAGTGAACACTACGCTGTCGGTTTTTGGTTGGCCTTAAGTGAAGGTAAGTTTAAGATTTTCAAAACCCTTTTATCTTAAACTAGGCCTAGATTAAGGATTATTTAGGAATATTTTATACTGAAATATAGTTTAATTATTTAAACTAGAATTCGTTTAAGGGTTTACAAATATTAAAGTGATTGGCCTTAGACTAAAAATAGTTTAAGGATATTGTTGAATGTTGAATATTGAATATTGAATATTGAATATGAGTAAATATTGAATGATGAATATTGAATTGAATATTGCAATTATTATGAATGACTGATGAACATTGAATGTGAATATAAATGTTGAATAATGCATGATGAATAATTTTTAATAATTATTGATTATCTGAACTGAACATCATGTGCATGATATCAAATGATTTGATTAGGAATTTAGATTCAGTTTATATGGATGTTCGATGCATTAGATATGCTTACTCAGCTTCAACGCTGAGCGTGTAGTATGTTTTATTTGCTACACGCAGGTTAATGAAGTGACGTGATCCTGGAGGCAGACGGAGGCGAGTTTGTCGGAATGGATGTGATGGTTTTGAATTAAAGAACATAAATAAATTATGTTTGTGATTATGATTGTTAAGCTTCCGCAATATTGAAAACTCCGTACTGTTTATATTCTGAAAAATATTATTGTGATAAATAAAAGTGTTTGAAATTTTTACGATTACCAAGTTAATACTTTAATCTGAAAGGGGCTGCAGACCTGGACAGATTAGGGTGTTACATTTTGGTATCAGAGCAAATGGTTTTAAACACGATCTTCGGATCAATGTTTGATTTAAAAATATATATTATATATTTTGGGTAAAAAAAATAATAATATTGTCAATCACATCCACGACTCTCGCGTCCCTCTGCTCCAGGAAAAAGGTATGAGAATTTACTTGGTAAATAATGACTCTATTAGAATTCTCATTAAATAACAATTGATTAGTACTGAAACCGTATCAAGCGTAGACTCTAGTTGAACTTTTTTACTCGGTGAAGAGACGAAAGAATAAACGATATGTTTATAATCTCCTGATACGTTATCAACGTACATTTCGCATCGCAAATGATGAAACTGATCTGCATCGCAAAATTGTACGAAAGTGAGACGACTATGAAGAAACGATAAATGTTGAGAAACATCTGTGAAGCTGATGTCAAAGATCCTCATGTGGACTCAAGACGATCTAATCGCTGATTCAAACACGAACGTTTAGAATCAATAAACTCTGTTATCTAAAGTATCTGATACTATTGTTTGACTCATTAGGACACATTATGCGATTACTTAATGTGAATCGAAATCATTCGTTAAGCAACAATTCTTTTTAAAACATCGTTGAAGTACCATACAAGGAAATCGACATTATCCTTAGTATGCATTAACAGACTGAATGTCGTTGTTGTTGTCAACTTATGATGAAGAATTCCTCAACTGAAGACCAATTATGGTAACCTTATAGAGGTGAAAGCAAAGCTGATTTCTAAACCGACCAAGTTCATCTCGAATATATATACGAAAACATCTCAAGTGTGAAGTCTATTCGGGCGATACCCAAAAAGGAAAGAAGCCTTTGACTAGAACTTGTAGTGTCCCACCCTCGAAAAGAAGAAAACCTTTGTTAACTCAACACAAATTGAGAGTGTGGAAACATCCAAAGTGTAACACTTATAGAAGACATCACCCAGGAGAATGTTGGATGACACAAGGATTATGTATAGGTTGTGGTAAATCTGGGCATTTCCGAAAGGAATGTCCTACAAAACCTTGGAAAAGCAATGCCGATGTCCCTGTTCCAAGTCAGTCTACCTCAGCCCAACTTGCACCAGCAAGAAATAACCCACAAACAAAATCATGCACGTGCGTATGCAGTGAAAGACCGCGTTGAAGAAAACTCTGGCGTCATCATTAATATATTTCCTTATTCGATAATTTATATCCATGTACTGATCCG